TCAAGTAATGTTTGGAGAGCAGAACATTTGATATATTAAAAAGAATAATATATTTGCTTTCCAAAAAAAACAGGTGCAGGGTGACCCACCCATCATACCTCACAGCACTTTGTTTCCATGAAATCACCAAATCAATAACATCTAACAGTAACGATGGCCACTAAACTGACAGGCTAATTCTGAGCTCGTCTAACACAGTGAGATTCTAATCTTCAGAGCTGCTTTGTACTCAGGATACCTCAACTTGATAATGTTAACAGCTGCCTACCTACTCCATTTCACCTGAGTACTTTGCCTTCACCCATAATTTTTTCAGTGCCTGTCAAATCTGCCAGCATGGAACCAGTGGGAAAACTAGGTCCCAAGGTCTCCAGAAATAAAAATCCAGCACAAACCAGCTGAATATACAAAACCAACAGGCTTAAAATTTAGACTCTGAGAAAACAGACTAGGAACATAATTTTTTTCAGCCAAGACATACAGGGTTTTCTTCCAGTTCCACTGTTTTCAAATCCCCTTATGGCACAGGCAGGATTGAAGATACACATGCCTTCATTACTAGACAGGAAGGTACCAAAATAGCGTAATTTAAATAAAGGGTTGTTTATCTAATTGGGCAAGGTTGTAGATAGTGAGCTATGTTGGATAAAATCCTAAAGTTATATTTGCTCTTCCGTGTTCATCCATAATTCCTACTCACATAAATATGTTACTAAATCTCCCACAATAAGCAGCTGTGGTAAATTACTTCTGTAGGCTTAAAAACCAACAGTAATAAAGTATTATTTTGTCTTCCAATTAAAAAAAATAACAACAGAGGCTTATATGAGATGTGCATACACGTTTGGTTCCAGTGAAGTGCTATTTACAAACACCCAAAGTTATTTCCTATCTGAAATCTGCATCACTGCAAACCAGCTACGTATTCTCACCACCATCAAGCTACACAAATTTTCTGTATAAAGTCCTGGGCCCACAAAAAAGTTTTGGGGCCACCTTTATGTCATTTTCCCTTGATGACTTAAATTTATCGTTAAGTTAGGAACACAGGATCAGGAAAGATTACTTGAGTCACTGAATCCAGTCCTCTACAAGCCCAGAAAAAAACCCAGCAGGTTATTTCAACAAACTACAGGTCATCTGTTCTACATATCATCACTTGGGGTGGGGGAATGATGATGGGGATGACGATAGGGATGAACAAATAAAAACCTGAAAACTTACAAAAACTTAAACAGAGTGGAAGTGCCATAACTGTGTCATGTCATGGGAAGTGTGCAATAGAGTTGAGGCATTGCCAGTGTCCTAGGTCTGTACAATAGCTTGCAGCATATTAAATAGTTATGGTCCAAAGAAATAAGGAAACTGATGCAGACAAAATTATCCTTAAATCTAGGCAGCCACTGCAGACTTGCTAAGTGTGAGATGTGCTACTAGGGATTACAGAAGGTGTCAGTGAAATTACACACAGGCATGTATACAGTAGTAAAAGGGAAAAACTTCAAAATAATGTATCATCCAAAACAAACCTGTAGTCGTTGTATAAGCCTGCTTCCATACAAAATATTTCCAGGTGCCCTTTATAGAATTTAGGCTAAACTTGAGTTACTTTCTTTTTTTAATAGGAAAGCAGCATGAATTCAGTATTCTAATAAAGCATTTCATGCTGCATTTCACAGTGTCTTACTGGAAATATCAGTTCAAAACGGCTTGCAGTGCAGAGAGATATGGACTGGAATTTGGGTTAAAAGATCATACATTGGATATAATTGTGTATCCACATTATGGAAACTTGCCCTTTGTCCAACTTTATTTATTAAATTTATTTACAGTCATTAATAGGGTCCTCAGATGAAAGCACCACTGCAAGGGACAAATGACTGGTGAACGCTCCGAGGAAAACTCGAGTACAGTTCATGGACTGATATAAAGCCGATACAATGCTGACTTTGGCAATGGAGAAAAACTCCAAGCAGATGGACCTAGCATAGCCTTTCAGAGGCGATCAAGAAGAAAGAAACACAGAGTTAATCCACCAACTCTAAACCAATCATAGAGATAAGAAGAGATACAGCTGCACCTGTAAAGGTGTCTGCTCACCACCGATGTGGAATGGCATGGGCTAGTAGCAGCAACCCAGAGCAGAGAAGCCATGCCCATGTTGCTACTTCCCCATAAACCAGCCAAGTCCATGCAGGATCCCAAGAATCGAGGCTCCCACAGTAAGCCTGTGCACCCACTGAACTCTGGAGTCAAGGCCACAGCAGTATTAGCACTTTCACCTTGTGCTACACTCACCCAGTGATGCAGTGCTTGTCCTTCATTATTCAGCTGACCGCACTAGGGAGGCAGAGCTGAACACGGACATAATTTATTAAGTTTGTGATATGACTAGAAATGTTTGGCACACTCTGAATAACCAGTGTTTCAGTAACTTACTGAGCTTGATTACCTTGGAGGTTCTGACAGGAAAAATAATGTTTTCCTAAAGGTTGAAGCAAATTCTACTAAAAACAACAGCAACCCAGGACCAAAGTCAAGATGCCATTTCTATATTGCTATTGATTAAGCTCACAGAAGGACTTCTGCTCCACTGAAATGTAATACCTGCCCCTTGGTACCTCTCTTTTATGCACTTTGGCCTTTACATCGCATGAGCCCTTTAATCTCACTCTAAAGAGCCAACTGGTTCAGGCTGCTTCCCAGCCATCCATAGAAAACTGTAGTCCTCAGAAGAAATTATTTCCCTCTCCTCCTCCATCAACTCATTTCCAAAGCTGAGCCAAAATAACCACACCACAAGCATACTTATATGGTGCACAGCCACCTGAAATATGTGGGGTTCGCTTCATTTCCAAGCTACATTTGTCATTCACAGTGCTTAACTAGTGGCATATAAGAAAGGATTTCTGGCAATCAGAAAGGATTTTCAGTAACATTGTTGAAAAATAAGTTAAAACAGAAATTTAAGAAGAGTTTGGTAAATCTTGAAACTGGAAAAAGTTGAATGTGTCATTTCAGCATCCTGACTTTTCTTCAGTTCCTGATCGTGCCTTGGTTTTGGAAGCAGATCCCTTCCTCCAACTTCTCCATGCTCTTTAAATCAAGGGCCCCACTGGACTAATGTAATCCATATGCTTGCTATTGCTTACATGCTATTCCTAAGTGTCAGCTCAGCTGAATTATGACCCCATCATACATCCTTCCCTACTGTCTGTTACCTTTATCACAGAAAGGCATGCTTGGAGATAAAATAAACAATGTGACAAGCGTGAAGTTTTTTATGTTTTCAAGAACCAGTTTTATGTAAATACTTGCTGGATGTCAGAACGATAATATTTTGATATTTGATTAAATATCTTTATAAATAATCAGAATTAAATAAATATAAGTGATGCAGGTAAGCAAAGCATCAGCTATATATTCATTAATGAGTAGACATAGAAGCCCCTTTTTTTTTTTTCTTTCAGAAACCAGACTTTTGTATGGGAGAGGACTGGATCGAGAATTTCATATGAGAATCTTCTTGTGTTTATTGTTTTAGAAAGGTCCTATATTTTGAACGGCCCAATATAGGACGAGCAGTTGGTTCACTGTCTGTGATGTGGTAAGGAAGCTGCTGGACATGCATGCATAAATTAACATCTCTCCTTAGTGCCCCGCTCAGGAAACACAAATCTATCATAGGACAAGAAAGTGAACAATTAGCAGAACCTAGGGAAGAAAACCTTTATTTTCAAGCAAAGAACAGGATTTTTTGTATTTACTGCTTTTCCTAATGGCAGCGAGAGGGCTTGCACTGCACAGAGCCAGCATGCTGTGGCAAACCCGAGTAGTGGCAGCAGGGCCAGCACTGGTCACAGCAGAGCTGCTGCAGGCACAAGGCAAGGAGCCATGCTGGGGATCAGAGGAAGCCAGAAGGAAGCACTGCTCTCCAGGGAACTTTGGACAAATCAGGAATGCAATGGGTGCACTAAGGCTCATGTGGTGTTAGCCGTAAGGCTAATGCCATACCGACTCCGGTGAAGCACACAAGCTCAAACCAGAATGCTCTGCAGCCCTCAAGGCAGAAACTAGCTAAAAAGGGCTGGGGAGAAGAAGAGAGCAACAAGCTGCTGGTGAAGCTTGGGGTGGCAACAAGCCTTTTATCATTTCTATTATAAGCACTGTGCAGCAGGTGTTCAACAGCAGACTCAGGAGTAGACCCAAAACTCAAGTGAGGACTGCTTCTGGCCCAAGGAAGGTGTCTCACCAAGTTTTTATATATATAATGGGCTGTTAGCTCCCCTGTGGACTTGTTTTCTATTACACACTTCACCCAAAGGAGTAATATATGAAACATACTGCTGCCTAAGATCTAACAGAGGCAACAAAAGAACAAGACACTGATCCTCCATCATTTCTTAAAACATGAAGTAGTATCTGGATGCAGATATGCATGATTTAGACAATTTGCATTATGCTGTGGTTGTGTGATGCCCTGAAAACAAGTAAAAATTCATCCAAAAAAGCAAAACAAAAGCACACCACTAATCGTTTGAAACTTAGTAACATAACTGACATGGCATTCACTTCTTTTCAGCATTATTTTTTAAAACCATGGGTGAAATACACTCTTACATACCATGGCTCCCTTAGCAGATGCCCTCTGAGCATTTGAAGCTTGAGAAGCAAATAGGAGGTATGAAAGCCCATGCCTTTCAGGCATGAAAACTCTTATTAGTAGACTACCCTTACTAGCCTTTAATTTACAGTTTTGTCTAGTGGGTGCATGTCAGCTCCACTACAAAAAGATTTAACTAGTCTGTAATTTGACACTGCAGCACACCAGCTAGTCAGACCAATGAAGGAGGACATGTAAGGAACTGCAGAGCACACTGCAGATTTGTATTAACTTGGAAGGAAGAACAACTGCCATGTCCAAGCCAACTTCTACTAACTACTGCAACAGTAACGTAAATAAACAAATAATACACAAAGTGCTAAACCTCTGTCCATACCTGAGATACAGAAGGTCGAGGGGGCAGTGCAGGTGGTGGTGGGGGCAGCCAGCCAGACCTCACAGCTGAACAGTGAGAAAAGAAGATAAAACAAAAAACCAAAGCCACATTAATTCCAAATAAAACCAGAATTAATTTCCATGATAATTCCTAGTGAAGAAGCAGTATTCAACATTTTAATAACAGAAACCAAACTTGATCTTTATTGAGCAAAACAGTGTTTGAAATAACTTCCTGAGTAGTGATTTAATTGCTGTAAAAAACCACAATGTTATGATAAAAAGCAGAGATGGAAGCCACTCAGCCACAAAAGCTGTAGCTAAAGCAATCCAATTCTAGTTAAAGAACCCCAGAAACATGGACTACTTGTCCTTGGAACTCTGCTCTTTGTCATTAACACTATTGCCTTTTTTAAAAGTGATGCATTAGCATCCAATGTCGACATTAGTGTTCACTCCAGATCAAACACACTATGTGATAGAGTGCAGCCTTAAAAAGAAAACATCTGCCATGGAATCAATAGGACAAAAGCCTAAACGAACAAAAAAGAAAACCATTTATTTGGCTTTATGTTTTGTATTTGCATGTTATTACTCATTGGAGGTATTTCAGAGGAAGGAGAAGTAAGGGGAGGAAGACAAATACTAATGGTTCATTCAGGCCCCTTTAACATAACACAATGTGCTTTTAAGTTTGAGCCAGCACAAAGGGAGGGTAACAATCATGTAGGTCCAAGCACCGTATTTCTGTTTTCCTAAATACCTAAAACCCATCATGGGGTAAAACTACAGGACAGATTATGGTTTCCAAAGGCAGCTGCAGAGAAGAGGACTAGACTAGCACAGAGATACCAACCAGGACTGGTAGGAGTCCTTAGGTAGGTTACCCTCCCCTAGGCTCCTGTCACACTGAGTGCTCAGCACTTGCACTGGCAGATAACAGACAGACCATCTTCCACTGGTGGTTATCTGTATGGCAAAAAAACCCCCAACAATATTAAAAACTTAGAAATGCTTTTATCACAATAATGCTAAGCAAGCAGTTACATTTAGACACTTTATTTCCATGCATATTTTAAAAAGCCAAAAAGACCATTACAAGCCCTGTTACAGCTTAGCACTTTACATATTTTATACACCAAATCTAAAAATGTCTACATGGCTGAAAATACAGACAAAATATAGTAACCGTTAAAGACAACAGTGACATGCGAGCAAATATGTGGGTGAAAAACATTGAGAATTGTCATATTGACGATATACAGCTTCAAAGAGGCTTACAACACATTGGGTTTTTTTACATCTTCTGTATCATCATCTCTTGAATCAAAATGAAGCCTAATATCATTGCACACAATGCCAAAAAGAGAGAACAATTAAAACTCAACTTAGGTTAGCCAAGGGAGTCACTAACACAGGTGTAAGAGATTTGAAAAAACATGGTCACTGGGATCCTTTCTCTTACATTTAATTAGTTCTCTTTATAAGACCACTGCACTACCCGCATGATGTCATCACTGCATTCTCTATCTTTTCTGTGCAACTCATCTTTAGAAAGGAACAGTGGAGGAAGAAACCCTCCTTTCCTTTAGGCTGCATTTCAGGTTATTACTTCATTTATCTGAGCACTGGCAGTGGCTTTGGCAATTATGACTAGTGACAGTTTTTGAAAACTGCAGCACTCTTGTAGGTCCTTCAGCTGCATGCTGTAGCAGCAGACAAGAACGTATGCTCAACACGATATGTTTATATTCAGGAAACCTTGTGGGAGCTGTGCTGTGACGCTCCATGGAAAACACCTTTGAGCACCTTACCCTACCACCACCACCAGCAACTATCACTGCAAGGGTATCACCTCTGCTCTCCAAAGAGCTCTAATGTCATGGGGCAGCATGAATCACACACACTTCCTAATGAGCCCCTGACAGCCCAAACACAAGGCTATGGAGTGCACTGCTGCCACGAGCACAGAGCTCCCAGGAAGGGGCATGTGGGGCCAGGGTCAGTGGTGCTGTGGGCAGGCACCAACCCCAGCAGCTCCCTCAGCACTTCCAAACACACGTAGCCCCCTCCAAGGCCCACTGTACTTGCTGGTTTACTCTCCAGCAGGCCCTCAAAAGCTTTACTGCAAGAGCTGCATATGTTGAGAACTCGCCTTAACTTCAGCTCCAGAGAATGCAGCACTTGCTGTCCTTGCTCCCCAATTCTTCAAACCCAGCGATACACCTAGTAAAGCAGCACCGTAGTCTTTATGCAGAACAGTGCTGAGCTTGCTGGCAAAGTATCTCCTGAAGTGGCTGCACACACTGTGCAACTCCATAAGCCTCCTGGGATCTGGCCCACAAAATACCAAATGGAAAAATGTTTCTGTAAAATGGTCAAATTAAGAAAAACAAACACAACCCCCCACCCCCAAAACCACTGCTTCTTCAGCTTTCAAAATACAATATATATGAATTTAGCATTAGTTAGATGCTTACACCATGTGCATTTGACCCAGTTTCCTCTTTTTAATCCTGCTAATTCTAACTTAAGCTACTCATGAAATATTCATAAAATTCCTGCTGATGCAGAACATCTTCGGCCTGTTAGAAGGAAATCATGCTTATGTGAGCACAATTGCTAGACAAAAGTTATTTGACTTTTGAGAACTGGTAACAACTTATAAAAAAGCACACTTTTTTTTCCTCACAGGGCAATGAAAAAAAATTTAATGACAGATGGCTGCAAGCTTCAGCCTCCTCTAGTGTCACTAACCTAAAAGAGGACAGTATTAACAGATACTCATAGGTTTTTATGTGTATCAGCAGGTGACATGTACAATATATTAGGTTATTCCAGAATACCCTCCTTCCTGGAAGACTGCCCCACACAGATTGACTTTTGCTGATAGAGACAGCATCAATATGTTGGCTCTGAAAGTGAACACAAGTAACAGGGGAAGGTCTGTTTCCAAAATGAAAGCAAGTACCTGGGACCAAGCAGCAAACAGACAAATGTCACATTTCCAGGTGCACACATCAGAGCTTAGATAAGCCGCACATCATTGCTCTTTGAAAACAAGTCTTGCCCCCCCTGCACAATAGCAGAGGGAGCTGGAAGGAGCAGGATGGGCCTCGCAAAGGTTGCCTTGTTACACAGTAGCTTGCTGGCATGCCTCAACCAGGGTGAGCCATGTAAAGCAAATCTCAGAGATAGCACTGTGGAAATGCCATACAGGTACCAGTAAAATAGATTTAAATATATCCAGTATCCATATCACACATATACCTGTAAACTGCAGCATTTTCACGCACTAGTTACTCCCACAAAGATAGTGATAACGCTTTCAGTTCAAAAATCATGGTTCTTTACTTAGCATGTTTACACTTTAAGGTGGATTATCTGCATGGAAAGCTTCCAGGTCCAATTTTCTGCCCTATTTTGGCAATCACAAAGGTCTGATAGCACTAACAGAACACCACACCAGATAAAAAAAAAAAACAGGTTTTCCAATCTGAAGCTAGATTAATATTTTAAAACAAACACCAGGCTGTAATTGTACACTCTGAGAACAGGCCATGCCATCCAATCTGGCCACACTGCTGTGCCCCCTGCCTCCCTAGCAGACAACACAAATCCTCAGCATTTTCACTACTCATGGTAGTGAAAAATATAAATCATGGTGATCATCCCAACAGCTTCTTTACTTATTTGATCTAGGAAGAGGAGACCAAAGAAAAACAAAAAGTTATCATAGTCCAGTCAAAGCTACGGGAAGTAGCTCTTCAGCTCGCCCAGCACAGCAGCAGGGCAGGATGCCAAAATTAGGGTGGAACAAATTTGGGCCCTTGGGATCCTTCAGAATAACCTGTAAGAACAATGTGCTGCACGTCTCTCACCAAATTATAGTCACCTGATCTCTTGTTTCTTAGTACTGAAGAAAACTGCCACAATACACTGAGCTTCTGGATGCATGCTATTTTTAAAAATTAATTAATACTGGAAAGCAGCATTATAAAACTACACTTCCTGAAGCATTTCCATATCAAGTATTTATTTCATTTCTGTTCTTTGCAGCTGCCTTCCTTCTTGGTTTTATATGACTATCACCTTACCCCAAGTATCACTTCAGACAAGTTAAAGCTTTGGGTGAAGAAAAAAAAAATACTTCTTTTTCTCATCTGAATTGAATATGTACATAAGCAGTGTCCTGAAAAAAGGATGGTTTTCCCGGTCAAGGGCTGTTTTGCACCTTTCAAGGGCCGTTTTGCACCTTTCTAGCCAAAGTGAAACTAGATACTGCCTACCAAAGGGGAGACTGACCTCCTTTCATGCCAAAACCCTATACAGCTTTCATTCCATGATCAAAAGGGCACCCAGAGTATGGTCACTCCTCTTATTTTGGTCACCATTCCCAAAGGGAGAAAGAGACTGTGTTTCTCAGCTCACAAAAAGGGTGCAGCCCAAACCTAACCCAGTTTAAATCCAGGCTGATCTAAATCCAGCCTGATCCTAAATCTGCTTCCCCACCACCACCACCTCTTCTGCAACTGGGTGGTGACCATCAAGGGGCTTAAATTGGGGAAAAAAAATTATAAGGTTCCTCTGTAGAGTCTGGATGATGTGTCTGGTATTTTTCAAGTGGGTGTTACGGCACTGTTGGACCAAGGGAAAGGCTGTTTGCACGGTAGGTTTACATCAGTTTAAGCTGCTTCGCAGTGCTTAGGTCCCAGACCAGGTTTAACAAAAGACCAAACAAATAATTTTATCAGTAAGCAAAGATCTGCAACACTGAAAAGAGTTCAAGAAAAGATAAGCCAACAGAACAAGTTGTTCTTTGGTTCCTCAAACTACCTAAAAGGCTTCAGTTTCTTAGGTAGCTTGGGAAGCCAACATGTTCACCCCTCCATTCTGATGCAATTTTGGAGAGTTTTTTAAGATACTTTTCCTGCTTCTGTTGCCTAAGGCAGACCACAGAAATGTTCTGCGTCTAAGCTGGTTTTTCTTTACCTCTGTCTTACAAAACTTCACTTGTTCACTGAAATTGGCACTTGGACATCCCATAATACTAATACCATTCTCTG